GGAGAACCTGATGATGTCGGAGGCCTACTGGATGCTGACTTTGCCCTGGACCCTGACAAGGTGGGCTGGAAGACAGAGGAGGGGCTCCAAGGCAGAGGCTATGGGTGGGGTGACTAAGGGTGCTGGGTTAGACAACAGAATGGAGGTGGAAGGAGGGTAATCTGGGCCACAGAGCCCAACACCCGAGTCCCACTGAACCCTCTGTCGTTTTTGCAGCCCACCAACTTCACCAACCCCGTGTATGCCACACTCTACATGGGCGGCCATGGCAGCCGCCACTCCCTGGCCAGCACCGATGAGAAGCGAGAACTCCTGGGCCGGGGCCCTGAGGACGAGCTAGGAGACCCCTTGGCATAGGGCCCTGCCCCAACGGACTTCCGCCAGAGAACCCCCCCTGCCAGAGAAGTCCTTCACTGAGCTCCCTCCCCAGCCAGCCCTTCCCTAGCCCTGCCGGATGTATAAATGTAAAAATGAAGGAATTACTTTTTATATGTGAGTGAGCAAGCGAGCACAGTATTATCTTTTTTCCATTCTCCTCCTTCCTGCCTGCTCCTCAGCAACCCTCCCCCATGCTGCCTTGAGAGGGGGGTGCAGGAGGGCTCTGGGGGCCCCTGCAACTCAGAGCCTACCTCCTGCCTTCCCACCAAAACATCCCCTCCCCCCCCCCCCCCCCCCCCGGAAAGCTGGTGGTGCAGCCTCCCACTGTACAAGACACTTTGTCAAGGCTCTCCCCTCTCACCCCTTCCACCCCTCCCCCAGATCCCTGGGGGGAATCGTTCTGGGGAGGGATCGTTCTCTGCTGCCCTGTCTGGAAGACTTGGCTCTGGCTAAGGTAGAAAGGAAAGAATGGAGGTTTTTAGTTTTTCTTGGGGGAAGACACCCCCAAGGCCAGCTACCTGTGTAGGGGCACCTCTGAGATGGCCATGCTCAATATCCCTTCCAGACAGGCCCTCTCCTCACCCGTGCCCCATGCCATGGTTCCTGGGGCTGGTGACTTTGGTAATAGTCCCCCAGCCTCTCCTCCCCTGGGGGGCCAGGAGGAGGTGGGGCCCACTACAGAAGGGCAAGAGGGCAGCCCCGTTTTGGGGACGTGAACGTTTTAATAATTTTTGCTGAATTCCTTTACAACTAAATAACACAGATATTGTTATAAATAAAATTGTAAAAAAAGAAAAAAAAAGAAAAGATAAGAAAAAAAAACAACAAGCCACTGTGTCTTGAGCTTTTTGGTACTGGGGCTGTGCTTGCCTACTTCAGCCACCAGAGGGAGTGCTGCTCTGTGCTGTAGGCTGACCCAAGAGTCTCCAGATCTCCAGAACTCCCTTCTCCTCAAGCCCCCCCCCCCCCAACCCCTTTGTATCTTGCTATGGCAGTAGAAGCTGGTGGCCCTTAGTTGACTTGGTAGGGAGGACCTGCTTCTCCTGATGACCTAGTATGGATGACTTCACCTCTTTAGATCTGTTCCCTCTGGCTCTAAGACACTAACTTGGAGATCTGCATCATCACTTCTATTGAATGTTCCAGTCCCCTACCATGAGAAATCCCACCTGAAGAAATAATACCTTGGGTCACAAAGGTTTTCCAGGCCTTCAGGATGGTCCCCTATGGCTTTCTCTGCCCAAGTGTGTCCTGGAAAGTAGACATCTCACATCACTGAGACTAATGAGATGCCCGAGGGAAAAATCCTGGTTATGGGCGTGGAGAGCTATTGTGAAGGAAAGCCGGGGAGACCAGTTTGCCAGGCCCACTGACTTCCCACAGATCCAGCTCACAGGCCACTTCAGACATTCCCAGGAGTTGATAGAAAAAGACAGAGACCGTGCAAATTGTCCCAGGTCTACTAACTCCTGCCAGAGAGGGGAATCTCTTTAGGTCCCAATGCTTTTTGCAGTATCCAGGACTGAAAGAGGGCTAGAAGCCCACTCTTCCCAGAAGGGCAAATATGAGCCCAGGGAGGATGAAGATCTCTCATCCCACTCCCAAAGGGCCAGTACTGCCTTTCATTCCCCCTCCCTCGGTAATTCAGCTTCCCCTGTATATTCTTTCCTGGCTTCCTCCTTCCTTGTGGAAGCTTCCCCTCTTTCTTATTCCTGAGTCCTATCTCCAACGTCACCCTCCAAGAAAATTCTGAGATCTTCTCCTGCGGTTCTGGCTACTGAAAATCCCCAATTCCCTGTGGTGAGCAATCCTGATGGGAGAGAAAAGAAAAAAAACTAAAGGGTGTCCTTGTTGCCTCCTGCGTGATGGGCCTTGTGCTGATCTGGCCACCAGGTGGCGTCTGCACTCCTGTGCTCATTCTGAAGCCTAGCTAGACCCCTCCTCAACACACTAATTATGTACCTGCCAGAGGCCCCCAGCCCAGTCCCTCACTTCCTTCCCTGGGGCTATTTTGCCACAACTCTTCTGCACTCTGCCAACCAGCTCCTCTCCCTCCTCCCCAGTGCCTGTCTGTTCCTCACCACCAGCAGTTCCACTCCCTCTACCTCTCCCTCTGCCAGCCAATGCATCTGGCGCCCCTGGGGAGCCACTGATTCTCTGCTTGTCACCTCAAGATCCTAAGCAGAGCAGGAAGGGCCCCCAGCTATGGCCTCTAAGGACAGCTCTTTGGTTATCATCTCTCTTGCTAGCCAGGACTGATTAGAAAATAGTCCAGCAGGAGGCAGCATCCCAAATAATCCACCGAGCACGGTAGGAGGAGGCCCAAGGGACCACAAAGAGACTGGACAGGGTTGAGGGTAGAGATGGTTGCAGATGGAATCAAAGGTAGAGATTTGGAGAGAGGAGACAGATGTGTGTGTGTGTGTGTGTGTGTGTGTGTGTGTGTGTGTGTGTGTGTAAAACAGGAGGCAGAATGGGGTAACCTGAGACTAGCAGTGGGTCAGACCTTCTAAAGATCAGGACTGGGGCTGGGAAGGTGGTTCAGTGGTAGAATGTTTACCTAGCATGCATGAAGCCCTGGGTTTGATTCCTCAGTACCACATACATAGAAAAAGCTGGAAGTGGCGTTGTAGCTCAAGTGGTAGCATGCTAGCTTTGAGCAAAAGAAACTCAGGGACAGTACCTAGGCCCTGGATTCACAAGCCCCAGGATTGGCAAAAATAAAAAATAAAATCAGGACCTTGGTGGTGGGCTTCTGCCCTGGACATCCTAGACCTAGGGGTAACCACTACACTCTGCCCAAGTACCTCTGTGCTAGAGCTCATGCAACCAAGACTCTGGTTGGAGCCCTCTAGATTGTACACTTCTGACCCTACCTGCCTTTCTCTTCCCTGCCCTAAGTGCACGAGTCCCAGCTTTCTGTCTTCTGTGTCTCTGGATGTCACACTGTCTGCCTGTATCCCCATCCTTTCTCTTACCCTTTTTGGTCTATCACACTTCAAATGTGCCTGCTTCTTTGCATATGCCTTGGCTTGTCTTTTAGATTGCCAGTGTCAGTGCCAGCATATACCTGTGTGTGTGTGTGTGTGTGTGTGTGTGTGTGTGTGTGTGCGCTGAGGCAAGGTGGGAGAGTACTCTAACTATCTGGCTGGTTGTGCTAGTCTGGGTGTGCAAGCATGCACTTGGCTCTGCCAGTGTGCTCTTGGGTGTGTATAAACCAAGCATGTCCACCTGTGTGTGTTTGAGTGCCTCTAGGTGTGCACCTGTCACTGCATGCTGGTCTTTTTTTATGAATGTATTTTGAATGTATTTTGCCCTGCATGCATTTAACTCTGCAGTGCCTAGGGGATCGGTGAGTGTGGGTGTGCCTGGAGGTGAGTGTGGGTTTGTGTCTTAGGGTGTGGGTTTTCCCTCTATCTCTGCTTGTCACTATCTCTTGCTGTCTAGGTGTTGGTCGTGCCACAACCTTAGCCTCGGCCTCATTCAATGCATAGCAACAGCTGACAGCTGAAGACTCCCCAGGCAGGGAAGAGGGAGACTAGCGGGAGGAGGGAGCTGATGAAGAACAGCCTCTAGGATAGGAACTGAGACAGGACTGGAGCTGCGGACAGAGACAAGGACAGAGGCAGACAGGGAAGGGGACAAGGATCAAGAAGAGCTGGTGGTGAAAGATGGGACAGTGGGAGGGAAGGAAGAGAGATTGCACCAAGATGCTGGGCAGGTGGCACTGCTAGAGAGACTTCCTGCCCAGCCCCCACACAGGGCCCCCCCGAACCCCACAGGGGTCAGCAGTAAGGGGTTATGGGACAAAGGTGTTCAGGTCGGTCTGGCCGAGGGGTCTGGAAATGACAGAGGTGCCAGGAGGTGGAGAAGAGGGCGGCAGGCGCCGTTTGTCAGTTCTATTGACAGACGTGATGGGGTTTCCGTCCGTGATCAATGATTCTCATCTCCCGGCCGAATGAGCCGCGGGGCGCCCATCCATCCCCGTCAGCGCCGCGCGGTGGCAGTCGCCCGAGGCCCCGCCCGTCCTCACCTCGGCTCCTGCCCTGCTCCTGCCCTGGGACCCACCTTAGCCTGGAGCAAAGAAAAGGCCAGCGCACAGATGCACTCTGGCCCTACCGCGCCACCGAGCTGGGCCGGGCTCCTGCACCCCGGTGCCCCCTCCACGGGCGAAGCCCTGGAGCCTCGAGCCCACGCCCTGCCCCACTCCTCCCCGGTGCACCGACCTGGCCTCGGCCGAGCGTCGCCCGGGAGCCCCACAGCCCTCTCCGCTTCACACCTGGGCCAGGGGCGTGTCTAGGGCGTGCCGGGTGAAAGTCACCTTCGGTGCCCCCCGCTGGGCGGGAGGGGGCGCGCGGGGCGCGGCCGGGATTGGAGCTCCACGGAGCCCCGCCCCCCCCGCCCGCCCGAGTCAGACCCAACTTTCTCCCCCGCCCGCGCCCCGCCCCCAGCGCCGCGCTCCGCTCCTCTCGCTCAGTCCGCGGGCCGCGCCGCCCGCTCCCGCCGCTCCGCCAGGCACCCCACCGATCCGCAGCCCGGAGACCCGCGCCCCGCGCCCGGCCCGGCCCGGCCCGGCCCGCTCCAGGATCCGCCCTGCCCGATCCTCTCGGCCGCCCGGGAAGATGCGGCTGCTCCCGGAATGGTTCTTCTTGCTCTTTGGCCCGTGGCTCCTTAGGAAGGTAAGGGTGGTAGGGTGGAGGCACGAGCGCGGGGGGCCCAGAGTGCGAGGGGCTCGGTGCGCCCGCCCCGCCCCCGGCTCCAAGCGTCCCAACTTTACGCGGCGTGGGGGACGAGGACAGACAGACTGCCCGCTTCAGGACGGGCACTCTCCCAATACAAGTTGGCTAAGGGTTGAAGAAGGGGGTGCCGGGTGGAGCCCCCGCTCGGATCCGGCTTCGGGAGCGGCGGGGGAGGAGAGGAAGCGCGACCCGCGAGTGCGCCAGACAGAGCGGGAGTGCGAGACAGACAGACAAGCCAGCAGGGTGTCAGCCTTGCCTTTCCGCGCCAACCCCGCTCGCCTTCCTCGCTGTCTGTCCTTCTACCCCTCACCTCCGCCTTGCCATTTCTCTTCTCTGCACTTGTCACAATGCCAGGTAGGCTGTGTTCGGAGTATACACGGCCGGGGTACACTCACGCGCGCACACACACGGACCCACACAGACACGGCTGAACTTGGCTACAATCTCCCATCGCTTTTCCCGCGGAGACACCGTCTCCCCTGCACAACCTCACAGACACACCCCCTCTGGTGCCCCGCTGATGGAAGGTGTAGTCTGGAAGGGGAGTCTCTCCTCCTTGCCCCCCCCTCTTTCGGCCTCTTTCCCTGAGGTTCCTGGGTGAGGACTCAGAGGCTAAGGGGCCCAGACTTGATCCTGTGCTTCTGGATCCGGAAGCTTCAGCCCCATGTACACGATGTGCTCCTATGTGCTCGTGGGGAGCGTGTGTGGGTCAATAGGAGCACCCTTGTGCCCACACACGTGTCCAGGGAGGCCAAGCTCGGGAGTTTAGCACTGGGGCCTAGGGTGCATATGTGTGCTTATGTGCCATGGAGATGTTGCCTTTGCGTGGGGGCCAGTGCCTGCTTCACAGTGTAATCATCTGCAGGTGCCCTGGTATGTGCCCCGAAATGGGGGGGGGGGGGTCTAGGCTCTGGCCCTGATCTCCACCTATCAGCCTCCTTTGCCCAAGGCTTCCCTGTTCTCTGTACCTCAATGGTGACCTATCTAATTTGGAGGCAAGGAGGTGTCTCTTGAAGCCTTCACTTCTTTCATCCTCAATGTCCAGCACCTAAGAGCCTGGAAGAGGTTTAGCCCCTGCCCCAACCTTGGATCTCTCCCTGCCCAGCCCAGGTGTCCTCTACAACTCCAGTAGGGCGGCGGCTGGCCAAGCAAGCTAGCTGTAAGATAGAGCTCCTGATTCTCCCAGACCATCTAGTGACCTTGAGGGGCTGGGAGATGGGCAGAAGAGACCCTCCCAGGAAAACTGCTTCCATTGGCAGAAGCTTCTTTGGGACTTGCACTCTACCCTGAGAGGACTGTGAAAGGGGGTCAGGCCCACCACCAGCATATGTGAAGGCCTGAGGTCAAGAAGAGGGAGGGATGGCACTTCCCTAGTCCTCCTTCCTGCTCACCCCGCTTTCCTCTCCATTCTTACACACACACCAAATAAACTCCCCCGTGGACAGATCTGGTTTAATTTCCTTTGCCCCCTGAAGGGGAATGAAACATCTGGCAGAGACTTGAGGGAGAGTGAGCATGAGGATATGAGCGATGGGATCTATCCGAGTGTTTGAGCTGCAGCTGTGGGGCCTCCGAGTTGGAGTCAGCGGGCAGGGGGGGGGGGGAGCCTTATCTGCCATTTAGTCCAGCTTGTGTGCATGTGAGAATCTGTGTTTATGTGTGATGTGTGCGCACACACTGTGGAGTGTGTGAATACATAAAACTGTGCATGGAGAAGTATGTGAAAGAGACATATTTGTGTATCCAAATATCTATCTGTGCATGCATATGTACACTTATGAGTAGGGTGTGTGTTCATGAGTAGAGCTCAGGGTCTTTGGTGTACTTACCTGGAGGGGCACAGATGTTATCTACATATGAGTCTGGGGTTTATAATCTATGTGCTTGTGGTTTTGAGTGTGGGCAGGGGGTTGTGAATCTCCAGATGTGTTTATATATATCTGAATATGGCAAGTGTGTGTGTGTGTCTGGGTGTGTTGTCTGGGTGTGAGTATTCAAGGATACCTCTGTGCCAGCATGAGAGTGGGCGAAAGGCAATGCTGACTCTAGGTGAGAGGCTTGTGGCAACAGTTTACAGGGCAGCAATTTGGAAAGCCTTAATCATCAATGCTACCAGACCAGCCTTCTTCTACAGCCTCTTTCTCCTTGCTCTAGGTTCCTGGTCTCCTCTCAGAGGCAGAACTGTTGGCTTTGCCTGCCCTTGGGGTTCTGGCCTCTGGGCCAGCCAAGCTGCTTCAGGATCTTTCCAATACTGTGGCCTATACCTTTCCCTTTCTGTCTCCCTCACCCTTTGCCAAAGCAGCTGCCTATTGGGAGAAGCAGCAGGCGATCAATAGTCACTAATCACTAATCACTAATTACTAATTAGCTGAGGGAGGGCAGGGACAGAGCCTCGTGGGACCTTTCATCTCTATCCTGCCTCAGGGAAGAATTAGGTGCAAGCCAGTCTCCATGTAGCTAACTACAACCAGCCAGTGCCTTCCACCTCCTTACCCTTTTCAAGCCCCCTAGCTAATCTCTGGCCGGGTCACTTAGGCACGCACAACCTGGGCTAGGACCCAGAGATGCTGGTGAGGATTTGGGGGTAATCAGGGGCTGCAGCTGGGCCAGGGAAGGGGTGGGTTACTGTGATGGTTCCCTTGGGGCTGAGCCTGCAGCTGAAGCCCCTCATTTTGAATGGAGGAAGGCATTTTTGGAAAGAGTTTAGAAGGTATGGGTTGGCGTGGGTGAAGCACTAGAAGTCTGGGGCAAGGGCAAGAAGGGTTATAGGGATCAGGGACCCTGTTATTGGGAAGAGGAATGACAATCCTTGAAAACCAGCAGGTAAGCCTCAGGGTCAGCAATGGAGTAATTGGCAGGGAGATGGGAACTTTGAGCCCAGCCCCAGTAACTAAAGGTGGGTGTAACTGTGAGGCACTGGGTAAGCAGGGTAGCCAGGTATTGAAGAGTGGTCCTAGGACTGGGGGGCAAGAGGGAGTTGCAGATTTTGTGGTAGAGAGAGGGGAATGGGGGGGCGGTGGAGAGCAGGGAGTGTGGCCTTGAGCGCTGGAAATTGGAGAGTCTCCCCCCCCCTTCTCCCCCGCTTACCCCTCCTCCACCTCCACCCCGCCCACTCCCCCTCCGGCTCCAGCTTCGGGAAATTACATCTCCGCTTCACGGTCCCCCCCCCCCCACCGCGCCCTGGAGCTGGCGCCTTTATAGGCACATTTATTGCAATAATAAAGTGAGGCGCGGGGCGGGGGGCGGGGGGCAGCCGTTCCCGGGGGGACTGCGCCGGCTCTAGGAAGCAGGGAAATAAAATAAAATAAAATAAAATCAAAATTCAGATAACGGTGAGCCTTGCACGGCAGGCCGCCAGCAGGCGGGCAGGCGGGGCTGAGGAGGAGGGGGCCCCAGGCCCAAGGGCACAGCCCACCCTATCACGAGGCCCCCACCTCGGCTTGCCTGTAGTAGGGTCTACACCAAGGTACCTTCACATACACATGCATGGCCCCCTCCCAAAGCTTGACCTGTCTGATATGCGGCCTTTTCCTCTGGCCTGCCTCTCATACTTACTCTCAGCTCCTGTCTCTGCCCAAGCCTTGTCCCCCATCTCCTATCCCGCTCCTCACTGGCTTCCTCCATCCCCATCTGCTGCTTCTCTGTTTTCATCATCATCCCATTTCTGCCTCATAACCATTCTTCCTCCTCCATTTCTGTTCTGCTCCATCCTGTGCCCATCACCATCTCCTAGTCCCTGTTCATCTTCATTCCTGCCCATCCCTCACCCACGATTCCCACCCCCTTTTTAGCTCCCATTTTTCTAGCCCCCATCTTCATCCTTCTAGTCCCTTCCTCATCAGCATCCATGTCTCAGTGCCCACTGTCTGTCCACCATTTTTGATCTCCTCCTCCATGTCCCTACGTCTACCTTGGCTTCATTATCTCTTAGCCCCATACCCCCCAGTTCCCAATCACAGTCCCCTCCATTTTTGTCCCAATCCTCACCTCAGCGCATCCTGTCCACCCACCTCTGTCCTCAGCCCCATCTCTATCCCTGGTTCCCAGCCAGCTTCACCTCGCCCTGACTGCGGTGTCCTCCTCGCTTCTTCTAAGTGCAGGGATTCAGTATGCTCTTCTCTCCCTTCCCCAGCCCAGACCTAAGGGTCCTCTCCCCTAGCCAACCTGAGCGTTCTACCTGACCTACAGCAGGAGAGAAACAATCAACGAGTCTGGAGGCCCTGGGAACGTGCACCCTGCAATGCGGCTGGGGGGCCAGACAGCTGGATCCTCCACCACCCCCCCCCCCCGCCCCATTCCTAGCAGTCCCATTCCCAAAGAGCCTTCGCCTCCCCTCCTCAGTGGAGTTTGTTTGGCAGCAAGAGATGGCCTCAACTCCCCTCAGGTGCGTGGGCCTGCTGCCTCGGGGGCAAATCACTCCTGGCTCAGCTCCCTGCCTGCATGGGCCTGGAGGAGCCTGCCTAAGCAAACCACCCCCCCCCCCCAGCCACCACACACCTCCGCCCTCCTCTGACAGCCAGCCGAGCTAGCCTCTCCCCTTTGCAAATGTCACCGCACCCAATTAGCTTAATTAAACCAGCTCTGAGGCGAGGGAGACCCCTCCTCGGACTACACCCTGCTCCAACCCTTAGCAATGTGGGGAGGAGGGAGGATTGGGTTCTGCAAAGAGGAGCTCCCTTACCACCTTCTCCCCCACCCACACCGCTGGAGACAGACTACCTGAAGGACAGTGGGAGAGAGAGCCACCTTAGAGAGACAGACATAAAAGGGGGGGGGGGAGCCAGAATCCTGGAGGCTGGAAATTAGAGGCAGAGACTAAAAGACAGAACAAGATGGAAAGAAAAGTAGGGGGGGGATGAAAGAAACACAGAGAGAGAGAGAGGGGGGGGGTGGAAAAACAGCAAAAGAGGTAGAGCAAGAGAGGGAGAGGGAGAGAGCTGGAGCGATCAAGGAAGCCAGAGGGAGGATTTTATTTTATTTTATTCCATGTTCCCATTTCTCGGCTCGTTTCCTCTCAGAGTCTCGCCCCTCCCTGTCTGAGCGCTCCCCCCAAGGTCGCCTCCCCCAACTCTTCTCTTTTATCTTCCTTGTCTCCAGTAGCGGGTAGGGGTGCAAGTGTCCAAAGCCTAGGGATTTGCCAGGATCACAGAGGCAGAGACAGCAATTTATCTGGGATCAGGGGTGGGGTGGGGGATATCCTGGCACCTCTTCCTGTCCTGCCAAACCTCATTTCCTCCACAGTCCCTACCTCTGAGGAGTCCATGAGCTGATCAGCCCTGGCCAGGTGCTAGGCTGGGTGCAAAACTTAGGGATTGTGAGGATGGGCTGGGAAGTAGTGGCTTGAAGGCATTTGGGGTCTAGGTGAGAGGTGGCTTAGGGAGAGGCCAGGTTCTAGTACTTTCCTGGAAAGAGAGGTGTTAGGTCCAGAGTAGTGAGGTTAGAGGTTGGAGTGTAACAACCAGACTTTCAGTTTTTAAACCCTTGCCCCCTTCCTTTTCCAGTGCCCTTCCTGGGCTCATCCACCTGCTGGGGACCCTTTCTCCCACTGCCTGTTCTCTGCTACCTCTTCCTCCAGCCCTATTCAGGCCCACCCTCCCCAGTGTTAGATGCCAGCTGAGGCTTGTCTGTCAGACTCAATCACTCTTGCCATCCCCACCTCCCTCACCTGGGCTGGGAGGAGGACTGGATGGGAGGAGGAAAGAGGGGGGCGATAAATATGTATGATGAGCGGGTGGTGGCAGCATTAATAACCCAGGATCGCAGCGCTGCAGGGACCCGGCCCAGGCGGGTAGAGATTCTAGCCCAGTAGCTTGGCTCTGCAGTTGAGTCCCATCTCCTGTGAACACAGAGGATGCACACACAGTGTAGGTAATGTGCAAACAGAGGGGGCACCCATGCTGCCAGGCCTCTCAGCTATCCAAAGCTCAATCTACAGGGCAGAATGGTCTCCCCAGAGACCATTCACATGTGTATGTGTGTGTATGTGTGTGTGTGTGTGCGAGAACAGAGCACACTTGTTCTGTTACTGTGGATACACCCACTTTAGAAAAAGCCTGATATATGGACAGTGGATGATGGGGACTCACAAAGGAAAAGTGACACCTCTAGACACTAGCACACAGCCACATTCATACTGCTCTACACAGGCACGCAACGACCTAGTCACGAAGACACAGCAACCACAAATGACCCCCAGCCTCACTCAGATGAACACAGACACAGGGCATGCTCACATGCAGCCAATCCAGACACAGACACATAGCCACCACACACACGTGTACACACACACACACACCGATATGCAACCACCACAAGCAAGCACACACAAATGCATGCACACACATGCCTGGCCTCCTCACAGTGCTATGCATAGATGCACAGCAACACAAAATCACTCTAGCCCCACACACAATCATCACAGGCAGACATCTGTGTATTAGCTACACCAGGCAGAAGATGTAGCGTGACTCTGTGAAGACAGACACACATCATTCCAGGCTAACAGAAACACAAGCATCCCAGACCGACATGCACAGAACTGCCTTTCCCACAAGACCTGCGTGCAGCCAGGGCCACACGGAACAGCACCAGCACGCCGAGGCTAGCACAAGCTGACTGACACACTGTGACACGCTCCGCTCCACTCCCTCCCGCTCCCCGCTCCGGCGGCATCTCCATATTTCTTCCTTTCGCGCGCACTCTCCCAGTCTCCTTCACTCCCGGCTACCCCCCTCTTCTGTCCCCCAGATAATTGATGGCCCGGGCCTGGCCCGGCTGCTCCCGCCTCTCGATCCATCTTGTACTTGCGTCCGCGCTGTCTCCCCGATCCGCCGCCACCTGAGACACGAGGAGACGGGGCGGGCGGGGCGGCTCCTCTGGGCCCCTCGGAGCTCAGGGAAGGGCCGCACTACAGAAGGGATGTTGGGGTCCAGGGAAGGGTACCCCTGCCTCCCCCAGGTCTCAACCCACGGCCTGAACTCTGCTCCCCAGCTCAGCTGGGTTTCAGCGGCGCTTCCCCTGGCTGAGGTGGGGGTTCGAGTTTTGGCAGAGCCGGGAAGCCGTGGCTTTCACGTGGCTGGATGCTGAGATGGCCAGGACCTCGCTTGTCCAACACAGCGAGCCTTCCCACGCCATTCCCGGGAACTATCCCCGGGCCCAGACTAGGGAAGAGGAAGCTGAGATCCGCCTCCTCCCCTCGGCCACACCCACACTGGCTTTGGCTTTGGGGCCCGCAAGGGAGCTCTAGAAAATGCAAGGCTTATCGGGCCATTTCGCAGACGTAGCCCCTGAGGTCCAGACAGATGAAGTGACTTGGCCAAGATGGATCGATCAGAGCTTGCACGGGTTGCAGAGTTGCAGGTCTACTCCAGTGCCGGCTGCAGACCCGCGCGCGTTCCCACTGGGTTTCCCAGCAGCCGTCTGGAGGGCGGGTTACTGGCTGGGGCTTGGGGAGGGGGATGTCCAGGCTACCCACTCCAGCGGTCTCTCTTTCCTCCCTCTCTCTTTCCACATAGGCTGTCGGTGGCCAAATAGCGGAGTCTGGAAGATCACAGTACCTGGAGCTGCGCTCCGCCACGTCCGGAGGGGGCACCCCGGGCCAACAGCTCCCAGCGCCCCGCTCTCCCGAGGGCCTGGGCACGGCCCGAGCCTGGAGCTGGTCCTGGCCCGCTAACCACACGGGGGCGCTGGCCAAGGCCGGGAAGGCTGGGGAGCTGCCGGCGCAGCGCACCAAGAGAAAGCCGTCTATCAAAGCGGCCCGCGCCAAAAAGATCTTCGGCTGGGGGGACTTTTACTTTCGGGTGCATACCCTCAAGTTCTCGCTGCTGGTGACCGGCAAGATCGTGGATCACGTGAACGGTACCTTCAGTGTGTATTTCCGTCACAATTCGTCCAGCCTGGGCAACCTCAGTGTCAGTATCGTGCCGCCCTCCAAGCGGGTGGAGTTCGGGGGCGTGTGGCTGCCTGGGCCGGCCCCCCACCCTCTGCAGTCTACGCTGGCCCTGGAGGGAGTTCTCCCTGGGTTGGGACCCCCTTTGGGGATGGCGGCAGCGGGGCCGGGGCTTGGGGGTACTCTTGGGGGCGCACTGGCAGGTTCGCTTGGGGGCGCACTGGGGGTACCCGGGGCCAAAGAATCCCGCGCTTTCAATTGCCACGTGGAGTATGAGAAGACAAACCGAGCCCGCAAGCACCGTCCGTGCCTGTACGACCCGTCTCAGGTGTGCTTCACCGAGCACACGCAGAGCCAGGCCGCCTGGCTCTGCGCCAAACCCTTCAAAGTCATCTGTATCTTCGTCTCCTTCCTCAGCTTTGACTACAAACTGGTGCAGAAGGTGTGCCCAGACTATAACTTCCAGAGTGAGCACCCCTATTTTGGATAGCACCCCTTGCCCAGGCCCTGAGCTTTCCCCACCACCTCCCAACCTTGCTAGGTGGGACCCCCTCCCAGTTACCCCATCGTCCCTGTGGCTTGTGTCCACTCCAACTGTTTGGCCGAGGGGCACAGCCCTCCTGGGCATTCCCAGTCTAGGTGGTTCCTCTTTTCCTGATGGAGTGCCCAAGAAGCTGCGGTAGTCCTCCCAGAAAACAGCACAGCCCCGGAATAGATGGGGCTCAGAGGCTGTCCCAAGGTAATCTATGTCCACACTGGATCCCCTTTCTGTGCCCAATGCTGGGCTGGGCATTCCCTTTGCCCTGAGCTTTAATGATGCTTGGCCTGGCACCCTTATCCTGCTCTGTCTCTCTCCCCTCCCCAAGCACTTATCCTGCTCCTCCTACCTGAGTAAAAACTGCAGAGGCCTAAAAGCCCCCCCCCTTCTGTCCCTTGCTGCCTGTCATCAGCCCGCTGTTCTGCCCAACCTGGCTGAAGCAGAACACCTGCTCAGGGGCCTCAGCCCAGCCCCTCCACTCTGCCCACCTCCCTGCGGTCCCTGCAGTCCAGTTCCACCTGCTCTCTCCCGCTGCTTCCTCTTGGTGATTTTTTTTTAATGCCAAAACAGACAGGAAAGGGAACAAAATAAAGTGAAATCCAATATGCGTCTGTGTGAGACCTTTGTAGCAAAGAGGGGGGCAGGTGTGGGCTTCTGTCTGGTAGAAGCAGGGCCAGGCCTGCTGGTTTGCAGGGAAACTGAGGCAGAGACTGACTAGAACCAGCACCTTGAAAGCTGTGTAAGATGGGATCCAAGAGTGCTGAGCCTCACTCCGAGGAGAGCCAAGGGAAGATAAAAATTAGACCTGAGCAGGGACTTCCAGTGGTCTCTCTGGGTCCACTTGAGGAAGGAGGTATAAGTCCTTGAATGGGATGAAAATGCAGTGACAGCGTAGGCAGAGCGCTGACAACCTGCTAAGCTCCGTAGGGCTGGAGGAAGGCGGCTGGTTGGGAGGGAAGGGGAACGGTGTTTGCAGCATCTGGAGTCATCGATCTTCCTTTTCCTTCCTAATTTCGTGGGCGCTGAGTTTGCAGACGGATGAGGGAGGGAGGGAGGATTGGGATAAGAAGGTGGGGGAGGGGACCGGTGCCTGTTTGGAGGGGGGGGGGCATCACTGCTGTTAGCCGCTGGCAAACAGCCCCCTTCAGCCAGCTGCCCACCCTCTCCAGCCCGCCTCCAGCTCCCTCCTGCAGCCTTGGCTGCTAATTTTATCCGCCCCCAACCCTGGCCCGGGCGTTAATTGGCTGCAGCTTCATTAACAGTTCTCAGCTCAGCAGCCCCCCTCCCCTTGGGACCCCCTGACTGGGGCTAGGGAGGGGGTTGCCGACAAGCTGAGGCACAGAGAGAGGACTCCCCTTCAGCCAGCCTTCTTCCCTTGGAGTCCCAGGTCTAGGTGCCCAGTGGGAGAGGGTAACACTCCCCAGGGGCTTGCCCACTGCCTCTAGCCTGACCCTGAGTCAGAGATGGGTCTGCCTCAGACATGCCTGGGAGTGAAAAGTCGGTGAGCAAAATATAAATACCCGCTGGCTGGCCGTGTTGGAATAAATAACAGGATCGAGTGAAGGGAAGAGAGTGATGGGAATGGTTCCGGATTAGAAATGGGAAAAACAAGAATGCCAAAGTCCCCTGGCCTAGGGTCTATTGCTGGAAACACCCAAGAAAAGCTGAAGTGAGAGTGGGAAAGAAGACAAAGCTGAGGAGGGACTTCTAAGGCCTAGTATGAGAGCTGGGTGGGAATTACTGGAATGAACAAGTAAGCTTATTTGGGCCTCAGTTTCATCACTTGTAAAACTACAATAGCATAGCATGCATGTGTGGGGATTTCCAGCACTCCCCAATCTGATAAAACACAGGCAATGGAGGTTAAATGAGATGTTGCATGTGATCCTGTATCTTTCCATGGATGGTCCTCCTCTTCCTGTCTCATAGCCCTGCCTCCTCCAAGGCCAGCTCCTCCCTCTGTCTTTTTATCCATGGGGACATCTAAGAGAGAGGAAGGTGTCCTTGCCTGTTGAATTTTGTCACCTGTTCACCTCTTCAGGTCCTAACAATCAATGAGGACTTCTTGTAGGGCATGCCTGGCATGAAGTAGGAGCTCTATATAAGCTGTTAAATGAATAATTACGTAATGCACAGCAATGGTTCTAAAAAACACTATCAGAATCATCAAGGTTTGATTGGGTAACTTTGAGATTCATTGGATTAGAATCTCTAAAAAGATTTTATTTGGAAATCTTCTGGGAGGGTCAATGAGTCTCTCCCTCAGAGTTCACCCAAGATGTGGCAAGGCTAAAAGAAAGATCAGTTCCAAGTATCTACAGCCTGCAGGTATAGAGAGAACTCAAAGACTTCTAGGATCCCCAGTAACTCCTAACAAAAGGCAACAAGAGAAGGGGGACCTCACTGCTCTCAGCTGAGGAAGAGAGGGTCCTGGAGAAAGCAGGTTTGTGATCTGGAGAAAGGAGGACAATCTATAGAAGAAGTTCATACGCAAGATCTCATTTAATCCCCAAAATAATAAAAGTCTTTTACTATGATTTTACAAGTGAACAAAATAACCAGGCTCAAGTCTGTAATCATAGCTACTCAGGAGTCTGAGATCTAAGAATCACTGTTCAAGGCCAACCTAGGCAGAAAAATCCATGGGATTCTTATCTCCAATTGACTGCAAAAAGCCTAAAGTGGAGGTGTGGCTCAAGTGTGGTAAAGGGGTAACCTTGAGCAAAAAGGCTAATGGAAAAAACCTTCTCTCTGAGTTCAACCCCCAGTACTGGCACACACACACACACACACACACACACACACACACACACCAACCACAGAGGAAATTAGCCCAAATAAACTAATTTGCTGTAGTCCTAGAGTGACTATATCATAGCTTTCTTTTTCTTTTCTCTTTCTCTCTCTCTCTCTCTTTCTTTTTTGTTTTTTAGTATAGTGGATTGAATTCAGGACCTGGAATTTGCTCCACCAGTTTTTGTTTTTTTTTTTAATCACTTGACACGAGTCACACCTCCAGTCCTACTTTTTTCTGATTATTTTAGATTTGCAGATTTTTCTGTTTGGGCTGGCTTGAGATAAAGATCCTCCAGATCTCAGCCTCCTGAGTAACTAGGATTACTGACATGAGCCACGGTAGCCTTCTATCTTGTATGAGAATCGCAGTATCTCCCTGGGAAGCTAATAATATTAGTCTATTGCTGCTCAATACAAGCTTATCTGGGGACAACTGACAGGAAAAAGAAAACCTGAAAACCTTCAGGATAGAAGAATCCTAGATCTCTTTTCTTTCAGAGAAGGTTCTCTAACCCTGGCTACAGATGCAGAAATGAGGCAGAAGAAAACTACCATTCCCGGGAGGCCATCAAGGGGCCTCACTGCGCATGCGCAGGTCCCTCCTCTAGTCGGGAGCGTCTCGTGGCGTTCTTCTCGCGCATGCGATCTGGGATTGGTGCGCTTCCGTCCCGTTGCTTCTCGGATCTGGAGTTGGTGGCCGGACCTCTTGTGATCTCGGGTAGCGATGCTGCCTTTCTCTTTGCTTTGGGCGGCTCGGGTAAGAATACAGGTTCCGGAGGTTGGATGAACAGTGGAAAGTTCCTCTTCCTATCTTTGTAGTTCCCATTTACAAACTCTGGGGCTCTCCTACGTCTTTCACTGCACGTGCTCAGGTGTCTCAGGATGCTGATGGGTAACTAGGGGATCCGTCGGACTCCTGGGTGCACATGGGGGATGAACTGGGGCCCCAGCTCTGGCCATCAGACGTCCCAGAGCTTCGTGACCGCCCATTTCACGTGGCATCAGGGGAGAGGACCAAGCCAGATGCCTAGAGGACCCTGTGTTGGCAGGGCGTGGAGAAGGAGCTGGCTTCCCGGCTTCCACTCTCAAGTTGAGCTTTTCCCGCCATCTCTGGGACATGCAGATGGTGTAACCGAGCCTCCCTGCTTTGCTGAGGCAGGGGTCCAATGGCAGTGTGGGCTGAAAGGGTGGCAGGGCTATGGGGGAGGGCGGGTACAGGATATGGGTTTTGGCTTCCCTGCCTTCCCCATCTCTATGCCCGACACCTTCTTCCTGGGGACTGCTGAAGCTCCATTTCCTGTGCTGTAGAAACTAACTCTATGGTTTATCACCATAATCTCCTGGGCTAGCTGTTTATGAAGGCCCTTTACAGAGTCACTTTTGGGGGGGGGGGGGGGTAGCGTTGCAGGGCTGGTCTGAAATCTCAGCATCTCCCCTGAATTTGGGAGATGTGGGGCTTCTGGAAGACAAGCCTGAGGAGGGGGGAGTAGATGGGGGAGGGGAGGCAGAGGAGATTCTGAGCCAAGGTGAGTGGAGCAATTCAGAACTTACCCCTTGGACATTGATCTCAACCTTGGCTTTAGCAATGCCTTTGAAAGGTGGACGTGGGGTGGGGTTAACTGGAACAGGCTGACCAGAAACAGGCCAGAGGGCCCTGTCCATAAGCATGGCTGAGGGTAAATGGGAGACTTTCTCTGGACAATTTCTATTTGACTTTGGCCTTTTCTGCCTCTCTAGCCTGTGCGGAGATGTGGTCAGCTGGTACAGATGGCAACTCGGGCTCAGCACATCGAAGCAGCCCAGACTCAGACCCGGGAAACAACTGGAGGCTGGACAGGGCAGGAGCGTCTGTCAGACAGTGATCCTGAAATGTGGGAGCTACTGCAGGGGGAAAAGGACAGGCAGTGTCGTGGCCTGGAGCTCATTGCTTCAGAGGTGAGACCTGGGGGCAAGGCGTGAGTCAGCATGGGTTACAGGAAGTAAGAAGTCATGTTTCTCCACATTTCCCTTTCACATTCAAGACATTCCTGCAGGGCCTATGCCCTCTGGTTGTACTATTGTTCTGTCCTATGAAGGCAAGACCAGTTCAGTTTATGGGGTTAGGGAACTTCCAGGGTCCCTAAAGTGTCATCTCTTCCCTCCCTCCCAAGAAGAAAGAGGAGCTTGGACACACAGGTCTTAGTGCACAGGTGGCA